TATAATCATAGATAGGACCTCCCTATATTTTGAAGAATCACATCAAATAAAATCAGATACATAAGTAGATTTCAAGGTAGAAAGAGATAAAGAAACATGGTAGCTAGTCTAAATATTCAAATTGTTAACTGATATTGATTATATCAAAAATTCGTACCTATGAATACCCGAGCTTGATGATCGAGAATGAGCACAAACAGGATTTTCAATACCTAAAATAAGGGCGTTGAAGTGTGTCCTCGTTGTTCCTTTGATACTTAAGTTAGCAAGAAGGGAAAACATGCAAAAGACTATATGCTAAAATATAAAAATGCGTACCCGAATAATGATCCTAGGCTTTGTATTTATATAAATAGGTAGTGCACTCCGAGTAAGGTTAAGAAGTGCACTCCTCGTGGTTGTGTACAAAACCTCGAGGAGCCTCAATCTTGAAGAGATCCTTGTAGCGAGTATAGCTTCTGCCATAGTAGTTGGGAATATAGGCTGGTTGAAGGTTGACCAATCATCCGACGCCTCAAGATCCTTGATGATGAGAATATGAAAGCATGGCATAAGGTCCTCGAGGATTCAAAAATTGGTAATATCATATATTATTGCAAACATATGGATAATTTTGATCCATGGCATGCAAGAATGAAAATCCCATGTTCCACATTGAAATTTAATTTATCTGATAACATTTGGACGAATCTGTTTATTAGATTTTAATAGAGGAGAATAGATGGGAAGCAGCAGCTTTACCTTGAAATGGTGTTTGAAAGTTGAATGGAAAGCATAGTTATTGGCATAGGTGAAAGCATGAGAGGAGTCTCAATGGGTGTTGGGTAGTAGATGCCCTGATTGCCTAAGTTGCAAAGGAAAAAGAAGAGTTGTTGGCATATGTGTCTTCCTTGCAGAATGTTTGCCAGCTCCCTTTTCTTCTTTGTCCGTAATGTCATTTTTGTTGCGATAATTATCATCATCATCACTACTATATTTAGATTCTAACCCAGTGCTACTCTCTGCAGCCAAAGGAATTATTGGTTGATAACTAGCTATTGCAAACTCTGCAACAGCAACGACACCTAGGTTGCGAAGATTAGCGACACCCAGCGTCAAATCCTGTAAACATATGCATCTAATAATCAGTCGTAAAATTTATTGTCGCAATGCGCTCTTCCACCATCAACAAATAAAAGAAGACAATCTTTACCATTTCAATTTGTTGGAAGTTATGGGGTCATGGGTTGCCCATGTGGAATGAACCAACAAGGTTTCAAAGGTGGACATGAAGGAATGTTTCAAATGGAATTCAAATCTATAACTTTCTAACTCCCTACAACCCCCAAATAGCTCCTTGCAACTTTCTAATTGAAGTTATGGAGAAAAGGAGAAGAAAATAATAAAAATTCTTATGGAAAATGACTCAAAATATAAAAGTGCCAAGAACCATATATATGGGATGAAAACTCACAAAATTGGGCATTTAGATTGTGGATTATAGTTCCCTTTCTTTGTGATCAGGATTGAGACCATTGGAGAACAAGTAAATGCATATTTCAAAGTTTAGAAAGCAAGGTGACTCAACTATTCAAAAGATCTTGGAATTCGTCATTTTATGTAAGGATTCTTGACCTTGGATATATGTTCAAGCATGCTGCGATTTATTGCATTAGTGCCAGAGCCATAAGGATGAATTTCTTAAGATATTTCATTCTTAAATATGACATTACATGATTCAATTGACTTGTAAATTTTGTGTGTAAAGTTTTCGAACCTTGTGTGATTTTTATGTCATCTTTTGATAATTTACTGCTTTTTTACATCGATAATTATGTAGTAAGATTAGTATTAGAAATGTATTTCAATGAGCTTTCCAATCATATAAAGAACTTAAATTTTGGGTTGAAAACAAAGAAGTTATGAGAATTGAAGTTTGGATGAAAATCTGATTTTATTTATTTATTTATTTTTGTATGAAATTGGTAAAATCCAAAATTTCATCACATGATAACTTCTATAATACTATGTTTCATGATTTTCCATTTATTAAGGTTGGATAGATCTTCGCTAGTCCTTTTCAAAGGTATAAAGATAATTAATTTTGGCCTTAAAATAAAGAAATTATGATCTCTCGAAGTTTGATCGAAAATCTAAAAATTTTGCATGATTATTTTGTCATTTTCACTCTCGAACAGATCCGTTGATGTCCCAAACGTGATCTTAAAAAAATTAGTTTTTGAAAATTTGACACTAATAAACTTAGAACGTCGAAATTAGTCGGAATGACCAATTGAGAAAAAAAATTTGTTGGAAGATGTGGATGAGCTGATGCAAACCTTTTTCATTAATTAAATTAATTTTTAATAGAAATACTTTTTGTATTTAATGTTTAAAATAAATTTGTAAAAAGTATTAGAAATATTTTTTAAATTGATTAAGTTATAATTTATTTTATAAAAATCAAGGATATTTATGAAATAATATTTGGCCGGCGGGATTTTTTTTTTTTTTGAAATGGAAAATACTCCAAAAGTATTTAAAATATCACATTTTATATACGTTTATGAGTTGTGTGTGTCTTTGATAGGTTATGTGATCCATTATAACTTATTTCCAATTTTTTTACTTGATCAGATATTGCTAAATCTATGCACACTTATAATATCCTTAAAGGGAATGCTAAAAAATCAAAAGCCATGGAACTTATTCAAAAACTTTGTGCTATTGAAATTAATAAATGGATCTGGAATATGGCCTAATGGAACACGTAAATATATTTGGGACAAGTTTTTTTATGATAACCAGAATATGATAATTTTGATTTCGCTTTCCATTTGTTGGGATTATGTTGCAACACATATTAAAAGAAGGTTGAGATTTTGTATAATAAAACTTAAATGATTTGCGTTTTATTCTTCTATTATAATTACAATTATGCTCTAGAAGAATTAATTTGTGATAAAATGGTATGTGTCATAATTGAATAAACGTGTATATTTATACTGTCAACTCACTAATTTTATAAATTTGAGAATAAATGATAAACTCGAAAGTACTTAGTGGTGAAGTGGAGGACTATGAAAAGCAAAGCGAGTTAGCAATTGAGGAGAGAGTATCATATCCACAAACTAGAGCATATGACAACAGTACTGGGAGAATAATAAAATTTTTTGAATTCTTAATGAAATCGATACTTCCAAGCCTAATTTCTAGGCTATGTGCATGTTTCCTTATCCTAGGCCCCCTCCCTCTCTCTCAAATGTTTTAAGTGTATGTGCAGCAGATTGAGAAAGGAAATTTAATTGATGCAAAATTGAACTGCAGAGGAAGATAGTAGTTGCTTGGGAATGGTGAAAGCAAGGGCTTTAAGAGACAAATTATAAAATAGCTCAAACAAATTGTGAATTTCATGTCTCAACGGCTAAAGAAAAGTCATTTGAAACTCATTTTATATGAGACATACATATAATGCAATTAGACACTGTCAAATGTCATTTGCGACTTTTTAAGTTTTATTACTTTTTGAATTTTTATCACTTTTTTAGTTCTTGTCGATTTTTTCGAATTTTATCACTTCTAATATATTTTTCAATGTAAAGGTAGCAGTGTCCTCTAGTCATACCAATTGATATGGTCATCTTGTTGGCCAAGGAATGCTGGTTTTAGGTCCTCTTGCTACATTACAAATAAGTTATAGTTGGTTTAATATAATAAAAGCTACAACTTGTTCTCCTGTTTGGATCTTCATTAAGTGGAGATTAATGAGTTGACTGAGTTGGTAGATGACAATGGCAATGAATTAATTTAAAGATGCTTAACGTTTTGATTGGTGTTTTGTGGATTTACTGATTTCAAGATACTTGACGATAAACGGAGAAAGATGAGGAATGGTTGTTGTGTTACTTTTTTTTTTATTTAAATTTTTGTCACTTTATTAAACTGATTCCAATATTTTGATTGGTATTTTATCATTTTTTGAGTGTTTGTCACTTTTTTTTATTTTTTTGTTACTTTTCTAGTATTTGTCATTTTTTTTAGTGTTTATCACTGTTTTTCTATCACTTTTTTTTTAAAAAATTTCCATCATTTTTTTTGAGTGACAAATATAACTTTTTAATAAAATTGACATTATATGTTGTGTTTTAATAGAGAGTAACACTTAACTTTAAAAAGTGACATTGTGTCACTTTTTTATAAAAGTGTGACATAGTGTCACTTTTTAATTAAAAAAAAGTAGCATCTAGTTTTATACATTATTTTTTTTACTTTTATAATACTTTTCATATGAAATTTTAAAAAAACCCTAATTCTAAGGATATTTTTATGAGTTGCCCATATTTTAATTGGTATTTTGTCTTCTTTTTTCTTTTTTTTTTGAATTTTTGTTACATTTTTAATTATTTGACACTTTTTTATGAATTTTTATCACTTCTGTCATTTTACTGAACTGATTCTAATGTTTTAATTTATGTTTTATCACTTCTTTGAATATTTATAATTTTTTTAGTATTTACCACTTTTTAAAAAAAAAGTCTTTTTTTTCCCGTGTTTGTCACTATTTTTTGAACTTCCATCACTTTTTCTACTCTTTTTCATTTTTTCTGTCTTGAAATTTTCATTACATTTTTTAGTGACGAACATCACTTTTTAATGAAAGTGTAACAAAAAAGTGACATTGTTACTTTTTAAAGAAAATGACTTAATTTTACACACTATCTTTTACCTTTTTGTAACTTTCTTGGAATTTTCATTATTTTTTTAATTACAAACATCACTTTTTTTTAAAAGTGACATTTTATGTAACTTTTTTACTTTTTTTTAATAATAAAGTGACATTTAAATTAAAAAAGTAACATTGTGTTTAACCAACTATTTTTTACTGTCAAATACTTTTATATGATTTTTTAAAAGACTTTTAATTTTAGGGATATCTTTGTAAGTTGTCCAACTTTACACGTACCCTTAAAACATGGAACCTGTATTATTTATTTATTTTTCCTTGATTACAGTTGATTATAGATCAAAGTGATAAGTCCCCAAAAACATAAACCTACCGTACAATCAAGAAATTGAAAAAAAAAATTTCCACATATTTCTTCCTATCAATTTCAAAATTCAGAGTCAAAATGTAGTCTGTCAGATAATAACTACGAAATTTCCTGTTGTTCCTTCTTAAATTTTGCCAAAAAAATCAGAAATCTACATCTCTATACCACCTTAGAAATTTATTTATTTATTATTTTGGTGTTAATTTCGTCTCCTCTTTCAATTTCATTCTACCATCAGTACAGGGAGCGCATATTTCCAGGTAACATGCTCATTTTACTTTGAAGCATGGAATTTTCTGAATTTTGATTCCAAAGTAGCAGTAAATAATTCTTGATTTGAGATTTTTGTTTGCTTTTTCGTTAAATGTTTATGATTTAAGTAATTTCTATTTAAAATTATTCAGTAGCTCAATAAGTAGTTATCTTCTAATTCTTAATCGTTAGCCATTTTCATTTTGTTGTTTTGTACATCATGTCAATTCTAGTTTGACATTTTCAAATAGAATATTTTTGCCTAAGTTTACAACGTGTTTATAAGAACTAAAATTAATGTTTAGATGTTACCTTTAAATTTTTGTTTGCTAAATATGTATTAGAAAGTGCAAATGTTCGCATTTCCTTGTTAATTTCATGTCAATTTCAATTTCAACTTTTCATTTCCAGGGTTTCAATTTATATTGTTAATATTCAAAGGATTGGTACTGAAATCGGTAGTACATTTAGGGTGGTGTCCTTGGTGTTGCGGTTTGCTTCTGGTGGTGGCTTGAATTTTTTGACGATTTTGCATTGTCAGCTATTATTTTGTCATATTATGAGTGAAATAGTGTAATTTGGCTTTTTGTAACAATAATTTGTTATGAAGAGAAGGAACTCAGCTGACTTGGGGAGAAAAGAAGAAGAGGAATCCCAGAAACAGAGAAAAATGAAGCAGCCAACGGTCATCTACAAATTTGAAGTCCGAAGGAAATGGCATCATTTGTTGTTGTCAACTCCTATTTTACGTTTTATTGAGTTGTATTAGGAAAGCAGGCTTTTGGCGGTTTAAGAAAGTAGACGAGAAGAGGCAGAAGGGTGCGAACGATTTGTGCGTGGTTTCCATATTTCTTCTCTGACCTCAGTTTCTTTTTCTTCTTCTTCAAAATCTACCTTTTTAATTTTTGTTAAATTCTCACTGTGATAGACACTTTGTCTCAAAATTAATCATTGGGTGTTGAGTTTTGTTTAATTTCTGATTTATCACTGTGTTTGATTGTGTCCCAGGTTGAGAATTGAAGCTCAACTATAACATTTGGCATCAAAGTAGCAACGTGACTTGGGTATGGCTGAAACTAGGAGTAAATCTAATGAGGAACACCTTAAGAAGCTAGACAAGGAAATATCAGACTTGGGTATTGATGCGAACATCCATTTACTATTTATTTTCTATTTGGACTATTAGTTATATTCTATTTGGATTATTATTTATATTTCTATTATTGAGCTTGTTTAGCAGGTTTGACCCAAGCCCTTCTCATTAGGGTTTTTCTTTTGTTATTTATTTCTGTTTTGTTGCGTATTTGAGACAGTTGATGAGTTGATGAATTAAAAAATAGAATGCTTGGGTTGTTGCCTATGGCTTCCTCCTTCTCCCTTTTCCCTTGATTTCTACTTCTTCTTTGGTTTTCTCCCCTCTTTCTCTCCGGCCCTTTCCCCCTTCTTGCTGTCTTCTTCTTCTTCTAGCTGGAATTCTACTTGCTAGTTGTGCTATTTTGCTATTTCTAATTATTCTGTAGGAATCATCCCTCATCCTGCATCAAAGTGGTATCAGAGCTAAAACTTGGGTAATTTTTCATCCAGAATCCAAAACTTTCTTCCTATCCTCTTCCCAAAAACTTGTGGAACAGCACAAATAAAAAAATTGTTATGAGGCAGCAGTTTTCTTTTTCAATTTTCTTTCTAGTTGATTAGGCAAAAAAAAAAAAAAAAAGTCACTGTTCACGGGGGTACTGTTCACACTCGGAATTTCAGTTTTTTTTTTAATAGATTTTTTAGCAGTTTCACAAAAAAAAAAAAAAAAAAAAAAGG